GCTACTTGTGCATTGTTTTCATATCTCTGTCTGTAAAGCTGGACATTTAAATAAGGATCAAATGAGTGAATTCAGCTTTGAGAATGAAAACCAACCTGTTGGAGAACTGAACTTTGATGCCTGCACCCAGATAGCAAAATTTGTCTGGCCCACCTCTGGGCCACAACCTTGCTTAAGTTCTGGCCCAATTCTGGCTGGGTCCCCGGCCCAAAACTGGCCCACACACTGAAAACCGACTCAAACAATTTCCTCTGGCCCAGATGCGGCCCACACCCTGTAAAATGACTCCTATTGTAATGTAATTCAGCAGTGAAACACAAATACAATCATTTAAAAAGATTAAAAAGGCTTTACCCTGTTGAAAAAACCAGCATATGCTGGTTAGGTATGTTTTGACGCTGGGATGCTGGTTTATGCTGGTCCTTTGCTGGTGTTTTCTGTAAGATTAAGATGCAAATAATTAATAAAGAAAAATACATGCAAACTAAATCTCTGGGAGCGTCTTAAACGGCTCCCTAATTCAGTAGTAAGTGCACTGCTAAGTAGGGTTGCCAATAATACAGAATCGTCCCATCTTTAAGGCAACAGAGAAGCGTTCCGTATGAAAGCTGTATGGAACACAGTTTGTCCTTTTATAAAACTAAAACATGAAAATGTATTTAAGTTTTCTTTTCTGAAGTCGCCAGCCCTACTGGTAAGGGATTCATTGTTAGTTAATGACCTTAACCACCTCATTAAAATACATATATAAAATTATACAGAAAGTTCATAATTAGGTATTTATTACTTATATTCGGTATTCAATTATTTGTACATCATATCTAGATTCCACTTTCATGAAGACATTTGCAGCTAGTTTGTAAAAGTTATCATTACACATGTTTGTGTTTGTTGTTGTCTTTGCTTGTAAGTTAGTCAGCATGAGCTGATTCAAAACAGTGAATCATTTTACGAATGATTTGGTTCAGTTAACTTAAATTTCCCACACACACACCAGCAAAAGGACCAGCATAAACCAGCAAAGGACCAGCTTAAACCAGCAAAGGACCAGCATAAACCAGCAAAGGACCAGCTTAAACCAGCAAAGGACCAGCATAAACCAGCAAAGGACCAGCTTAAACCAGCAAAGGACCAGCATAAACCAGCAAAGGACCAGCTTAAACCAGCAAAGGACCAGCATAAACCAGCAAAGGACTAGCTTAAACCAGCAAAGGACCAGCATAAACCAGCAAAGGGCCAGCTTAAACCAGCATCCCAGCGTCAAAACATACCTAACCAGCATATGCTGGTTTTTTCCAACAGGGTAATTATAAAATTACCAAATACTTTAATATAAATATATATATTAACAATTAACAAATGCACTACAGTATAAACATTAACACATTTTTTAAACCACAAAGTATCAAGTAAATTATATTTATATAAAAAAACATTATGTGTCATAATTCAGTTCAGTTCTTATCAAATGGTGTCAGTGCAGTCAAGTCAATAATATTGCTGAATATTAGGTGTCTTCAACTAAGCAAGACAAAAGGCAACAGTAGCAAAGAACCCAAACCCTATCAAAGCCAGGCTCAGTCAGGAAACCAGTTCTCCTCTGGCCAAACGAACAAACATGGTGTGATTATTCCAGGCTGCATCACAAGTCAGATTGTGGATCGCTATCATTCAGAATATTTCATCCAGCTTCTTCTGCTTGAAGACACATCATGCCAGCAGGTGAAGCTGGTAAAAAGGGTCTGTGCAGAGGGCTTGTCTGGTTCTCGTAGTCTTTGCTGAGGATCTGTGCTGCATGGGGCCATCAATGAGGTCTTCACAGGGATCTGCCATCTAGTTGACATGTTCTCCGGGATGTGTTGTGGTCGTTCCTGGGTGCAGGTCCACCGTCTGGTCTGGATACCGACTGGATCAGCTGACTAATATAATGAGCATTGATGTAATTCTTCTTACAAATTAACAAGTACATTAGATATTATGGGAAGTGTTGCTGCTTACCCTAATTGGTGCAGTATAAAGATCCTTTAAGGGATCTGAATGATAGAAATGTGATAGTGTGTCATGTGTATGGAAGGTTAAAGAGATGGGACTTTTAAACTCACAGAGTGTGTCTGTCTCCCGAAGTCCGGCCCTTTTGATCGGCCTGCTGGAGCCACCTCTTCATAGTCCCCTTGATCTCCATTTCAGCAGCATTAGCTTGAATGTTTTTCCAAATTGCAGCCTTGAAATATATGTATAAATATATATTGTAAGGTAATTATTAAATCTTAAGCATTACAGTTTTTTTTACAATCATTAGGACCAGACCCAGAATTCGCACCTTATATGTTTGATGAATGTTCATGCATAAGTTCATGCAGCAGCTCAGAATTTCTGTAAAAAAAAAAAGATGTCAGATTACATATATAAAGTGTTCAGATTAAACTTTTAAATGTATGTTTGCTCATAATAATCCCCACCACAGTAAAATATGTTAAGTATGATTTTAATCACATCATACGGCATATATACGCTTCAAAAGTTTTCATTCACTCTAAAAAATGTAACCTGCTCTAGTGCTGCAGAGCAGACCGATTAGGCCTCCATTCAGAAGAACAAAAGGTGATGCACTTACATTTTACGGCTTTCTCTTACGTATCTATAGTGCTTTTCCATGTCAGAGCTTCCCACATGGCAGTGTTACCACAAAATAAATATTATTATTAAATTCAGGTTGCACATCTTGAATTGTCTTAGCAGGTGTAATGCTACAACAGCGTGCTTAGCTTGATTCACAAACAAATGACTCATTTGAAAGGTTAAAGGGGTCATATGATGCTGCTAAAAAGAACATTATTTTGTGTATTTGGTGTAATGAAATGTGTTTATGCGGTTTAAAGTAAAAAAAACACATTATTTTCCACATACTGTACATTATTGTTTCTCCTCTATGCCCCTTCTTTATGCACCAAGAGCTTGTAACACTCCAAAGAGAAAGGAAAAATTGAAATCGCATAATATGACCCCTTTAAGTGAATCAAATCAGACAGAGCCACCCATACAGATATTTATGGCGCCTCCAGCGCAGTCCGACTCCTATGATTCAATAGCAATCACTCGTTGAAAAAGACGAATTGAATGAATTCTAGCAAACAAAATGGCATTTAACTCATTATAATTTCATTAGCTAACATTATGGTGCGCTGGATACAGTTCATCAGTTTTTTTTATATAAAAAAAATACATATTGTTATTCTAAAGAGACCGTAGCCTACTCATCAACACTCAATATATTCGGGATCGAATGGTTTTTCTGGCGTTATGTTATCATCGCAAACCTCCTAATAGAAACCATCTAAACACTATACTCTTCGTGACATTTAAAACATCAAACAACACTAGATTGTTGTGCCGGCCGAACGCTCCTCAGGATTTAACCGCCAAATCTTTCTCTCAGGCGGCTGAGTTCCTTCATTCTAGCAGCGGCCCGCCTGTGACTAAATGATCTCGGGCCGAAGGTAGATACTAGGGATGAGTCACGATTATTGAATATTCGATTAGTTGATTTAATTATAGAATGTCGAATAGGCTGTGCGATTGTCGTCTAAAAAAAACACAAAAAAAACACGTTTTCGGTGCAGATGCGGTGGTGACGTGTTCATCTTAAATAGTTAAACTGTTCTGCAGTGATGGACGTGTCGGGGCCAACCTTCATCTGGAAACAATAACAGAGTTAAAAGGTGCACTCAGTAATATTTTGTTTCCCTAGCGGAAATATTTATTTAATTTATTTTATGCTAAGTATACTACTATACTATGTACTTCCAGTTCTTTTCAAGTGCTTACACACAAAATCTTCACTTGTCACACGATTTCTGAAACCTGACACTCTGGAAAACCATACACTAATTAACTTTTCAATTTCATAAAACACTTTTTGCAAAACACAATGTAACGAATCAGTCCACTGAAGGCGAGAGTAGTGAAGAACCCATGTGCAGTTTATTTACAGACGTGATCCAAACATCAACCGAGACACAGACTTGCCGAGGCATGAACAGACTTGACATGACATGAACAGACTTGAC